AAATTCAGAGTCATGGGCTCAAAATTTCGTTAGGTTCACTGAAAAAATGAAACTGGTAAAATTTGAGTACAATAAGTCAACCCCTTCACGTGCCTCAAAGGGGTTGAAGTTCTTCAAAAATGGGGTGGATTATCTTTTTTTGAGTGTACGCTCTTTATTTTTGAAGTTTCGCCAAAAATACAAAGAACAATTTTTATAGAACTCAATGTGAACAAAAAATAAGGTAATATACTATTTTTTTGTAAAATTAATATTTTTTCGTAAAAATAAGAAAAATCAGTTTCACTTAATTTTTTTAAAAAAATGACATAGTTTTCAGTTATACTTTTCTAGTGTCTTAAATTTTAATTTTACGCAGAAATTGTACAGAAGTAATATTAATCACAGTGATATCTTCTATAAAAAACGTTATTTGATTTTTTTTCGAATTATGAATCCTTTCCAAATAAAAATTTAAAACAACTACGAAAACGTAATTTTTTTTTTTTATTTGTTTTGCATGTATGTTTTTTGTTCATAAATTAACAAATTTTCTTAGTTATATTAAATAAAAAAAAAACAAGAAACACAATAAAATAATAATTGTTTATTACAATAATAGTTTTTATAATTTGAATATTTTTTAAAACAGCTGGCGATATTGTTGAACCACCTAAAATAGTCAAAAATAATGGTTATAATACAAATATAGTAATTTAAAATTTAAAATTTTGCAGTATTATTTTATAATTTCATACTTGTAATATAAATTGCTTTTGATTTTCATCTCTTGTAAATTTTTCGTTAAATTCTGTCATTTACTATTTTTATGGAGGATAATATTTCTTTGGCGTTATTGTATTCATTATTTATTTCCTATCTGGTAGGATCTTCATATAAAAACCTGAATTTTAATTTAAATCGCTCGAATAATTTCTATGAATTGTTGAGCAACGAAAAAGGAAGATCTTTTTCTAGAAAATTTGATAAATCTTCATATTTTAAAATTAGTTTTTTATTTGAATCTTCATTTTCTTCTGGCTCTTCATCCGTGCTCTGTTCATAACCTTTTAATATTTTTTTTGCCATTCGCTGCTTAGTATTAATGTCAAGTCGATCGTCAAATAAAGAAAACACAGTACACTCATCATTTAAATACCATGAATGGTTTATACATTTTTTTATAGCTATACAAAAAAAATTAAAAAAAAAAAAAAAATACGTTTTCGTAGTTGTTTTAAATTTTTATTTGGAAAGGATTCATAATTCGAAAAAAACTCAAATAACGTTTTTTATAGAAGATATCACTGTGATTAATATTACTTCTGTACAATTTCTGCGTAAAATTAAAATTTAAGACACTAGAAAAGTATAACTGAAAACTATGTCATTTTTTTAAAAAAATTAAGTGAAACTGATTTTTCTTATTTTTACGAAAAAATATTAATTTTACAAAAAAATAGTATATTACCTTATTTTTTGTTCACATTGAGTTCTATAAAAATTGTTCTTTGTATTTTTGGCGAAACTTCAAAAATAAAGAGCGTACACTCAAAAAAAGATAATCCACCCCATTTTTGAAGAACTTCAACCCCTTTGAGGCACGTGAAGGGGTTGACTTATTGTACTCAAATTTTACCGGTTTCATTTTTTCAGTGAACCTAACGAAATTTTGAGCCCATGACTCTGAATTTCTTAAAAAAAAATTTTTATTCTATAACTAAGGACCACCCTAATATGTACGCTCTATTAACGGTCAGAGAGCGTTCGTGGTAATTTGAGCAAAGTACAACTATAACGATAGTACCATCATAACCGCTGTACGCCGACACTATAAATATTGCACACGGGATTTTTACACTTAACTATATTTGTTTCACAATACTTATGACGATATTTAATGCACTTATACGAACTTTAAATTAAAATACGTTAATAATATATAATAATATTATTTTATTCCGCGTATAGCAATCGCTGCTGCTACGCACTACGTTGGGCAGAAATTAACCCTTTTCTAACTCGATGCGTTAGAATTATTTACGCACACGCACATACAACGCTTAACTCACGTACCCTAATAACGCACTTGCGTTACGCAAATTTTCGCACTTTCACGTTTCCGATATTCACTAGACGTTCCGGGCGAAGGACCATATGTTTCGGCTTGATCTCTTATTACTAAAAGATCTTCGATAAAATTAAATAAAAACGTAAAAGACGAAAAATAGATATGTGTATAGTATATGTACGCGAGCGGTGCGCTTTACAAAGGTAGACTAACTTTAAAACCGGACAACTATGTAGCCGTCGAACAACGGTAAGATAAGACAAAAATAGCTACACTTATTGTGTAGGCCTAAACAAGTCTAAAAGAATTGGACATGACGAACTGCTTAATAAATGGATATAATGTATCTTTATATCATCATCAGCACTACACTTTGAAACGTCTGTGAAGCGGCTGTTTAATCTTGTAATTGTCATCTAGTACGCAGTTTTAATTTTGAAGAATTATGTTATGTCTTTGCATAAATTGAAGCATGCCTGTACTCAAAGCTTCTAAAAGGGTTATTAGATCTATGTAATTTATATGTTTGAACAACTATTCATTTTTTAATTGGTGTTTAAGTGATACCAGAACCAGACATTTTGGATACACCATTAAATCGATATTGCGAAAATGATTATTATTCTAAGAAACCATGCAAGATAACTGGCATAGATGGAGATGAAACATCAGATGTTCCATTTTGTTTTCGTTACAGATGAAAACAAAGTCGTTGAAGGATGAAAAACAGATTCCTATTGGACCATTTACAATTTTAAAAGAAGATAATTTAATATCATTAAATTGGTAAGATTTATAATAGTTATTATTAATATAAAAATGATTAATGAAACAGTAATGATGTTTAAAAAAAAGATCTTCATAAATACAATTTGTAAAATTACATTAACTTACCTTTAGGAATATTATTTTTTATAGTCCTTTTAATTAATTGGCAATCTAATATTGATTTATAAGAAAATATTTTTGTTATTTCAAAACTACACTGATATTTTTTTAATTCTGATACGAATAATACAACTTTATTGACTTCCTCTATAGCAAAGTTATGTATTGTACTAATTCTGAATTCTGCGTCAAGTTTCTTATAAAATTCATCAAAATTATTACTTAAAAAAAATTTTTTCATATATGAACAGTAAATTTTTGAAATTCTTAGCGTTTCAATATTTGTAAACAAATCATTACGTTCTATGAAGTGTGAAATAGCTTTGTGCGTCCTAATAAAAATACTGTACATGTTTTTTTTTAATAAGTTATCCAACAGATTTAAATCCATGAATGATTTTATAATTTTAATAATTTTTTTACCCAGTTCAATGATTTTATCTTTTATAACATATTTTAATTTCCAATCTTGAAATTTAAAGTTTAAAATGTATTTATGAACTAATAAAAAATAAAAACGTACGACCAACATAATTGGACGAACTGTTGCTACATTTACCAAATTTATAAATGCTTGTACATTTTCCAAGTTAAAATCAAACTTGACGAAACGAAACACATCCAATAACTTAATTTGATAATTAATTTTACTTCTTATTTTCAAAGGGGCATATCGAACCATGTCTAAAACGTCGTTTTGTTGATTGTCACCTTTGTATCTAACATATTGTTTTGCTTGAGAACCTGATGCAAGATCTAGCTCCAAAAAACAAGGCCGATTTTCCATCAAATCGTAAAACAAAACATTTTTAGGATTGAAAATATTGTATGATTTTCTTTCAAAAGCCAATGCTAAATGTTTTATTATGTCACAACAATTTTTTAAAATTTCATTATTTTCCATCACAAACATTTCTCTTAAAGTCAAATATTCATTCATAATTTTAATTATTTTATTATTTAGTTTTTCGATTTCATTACGTAAGACTTCCAGGCTGTGTTTTATTGGCTCTTGAAAATTAGTTAGATATATGAAATCATTTTTAACTGATATATTTAAACACTTTCCATTTAAAAAATATTGCAATCTTTCTACAATTGAACGATGTAGAATTTTGTAGCCTTCAAGCAAATTCTGTGATCTTTCAGATCTACTGAACTCACCATTCTCATTTTTAGCAATCATATTTATTGATCCTGAAACGTTGTTTAAGTATAAATTTACAGTCATTAAATCAGCTGCAATATACTCCTTGTCCATTTCTCTTAATGAATCTAACATTATCATAACAATTTCGCCATGAGATTTTACTGCTGTTCCATAATGTTTTAATTCAGATTCTGATGTATTATTTTCAAAGTTATATAAATATTTTTCACTGTATTTGAAATAATTAAACAAATGTTTAGAGAAATTACAATGCAATTCTAAAGGGTCTAAGGAAATTGAATATTTTGTGTAAACAATAATACATATGAAAAGTCTAAATGTGAGCATTTTGACGTATACTAACAATTAGGCAATACTAAAATAATAATACAATTAATAATAATTAATAATAAAATATTAAAATAGTAACTCTTATATTATAATTAAAAAAAGTTTACATAAATTATCATGATCGATTGATTTACTTATGTTTTAAAGAATATTTTTGTCCCTTTAAATAATATTCTATTTGATTTAATTGTGTTCAGATTCTATTTTTCGATTTTATTTTTATATTTACTGCTTTTAAATTTAATACATGTAATATATAACCAAAAAAATACAGTATAAATTACATCAGTTAAATTATTATTTTGGTATTTTTCATATTAAAATATGAATATACAGAGTGAAACAGATCTAACTTATATAACTTTCGATATACATAACATTTTATTTTTATTTTTTTATCAATTTTACAATATTGATCTATATTTAAAATATGTTTTATGTTATTTTTCGCAATTACAAAAAATATTTAAAAAATTACATTTGTTTTTAAGTTTTCAAGATAGCCATTTTATAGATAAGTTTTAAAGAAAAAATTTGATACCAAAAACTCTTACTTTAATTTAGTAGTAACGTTTATACAAAATTTGAAGTTTGTTAAATTTTTATTTTTTTTTTACAATTTTCCTATAGTATTAAATGTTAGTCCATATAATGTAAAGTACAGAAGTAAACACTTATTACGTTATTTACTGATAACAGTATGCGATTTATATTCCATGGATAATAACAACGTTCAAAACACTTTATAACGTAATAAGTGTTAGATGTGTTCCATTCTGTATATCATTTTTACCAATTATTCAGACAGTAAGACAAATTAAATTATTTTTATATGTAAATTTTTATAAACAAAACTTGTATATAAAATTAATTCATTACTGTTTAGGTACAAAATAGAATACATATAGCGTGATTTTACTTACAGAATAATAATAATTAAAATATTTTTTTTTATTATTATCTTTAGATACACATTATTCTTGAATTATTAACTATGTAATACTTTTTAAGTTCATCCTTTATGCCTGGTAAGGGAGTCAACTTTGTTTTTTTAAATGGTGTTACGTCGCTATTTAGGGGTTGAGCCTAAATGCCCGTCGACAGTATTCTAAGGGACCAACGGGGGATAGCTGGCTAGGCTATATCTACCTTAGGTACTGAAGTTTCCTATTTAATTTATATTCCCTTAGAGGAACTACCAAGGGTCGTACTACAATATATATATATAACACTTTAGGTTAACAACGATATAAATAAATATTTATTAAGCAATTTAAATATTAAATGGATAATACAACCTGCTGGACACCTAGAGATGATTAATCCAACAGGGAGCTGACGGCGACACACACACACACTATAATATACGGGGTAGCGAAGTTAAGTTAATTATCAGGCAAAATTAGTGATCGCGAAGATGGTAAAATGTCAACTGTCGATAGGGATATCTTAATATGGCACATTGGCCGTGAATTGCAAAAAGTGTTTATGTGTGCAGTCCGCCCTCCTGTTAGTATTGCTGTATGTCACTGTGTTAATTATATATATATATATATATGTGGGTACTATTGGTATCTAGATGGCACCACTTCCAGGGTCTGGAGATAGATAGTGGTATCAAGTATATAGAGGGAGATTAAATCAAGTCGTGAGTCGGCTAAGACGTGTCTCTA